GATCCTGAAGGGTCAGTCTGTACACCAGCCAGTGACCTCTCCCATCTGCAGCTTTTCCACAATGGATGTCCACCATACTCCAGCCTCCGGTGCCTAGACTGCAGCTCTGTACAGGAAGTTTGGCCAGAGGAGAAATGGTCATGCCCAACTGAGCCTGGTTTGAGGTTATTCTTCCCCTTTACTTTGGTCGGTTGGTAAACTGGCTCGCTTGGTTTGGGGCTTTTGTAGTTGAGCATGGATGGATTCTTCGGATTTTCATTGTTTGGACTTTCAGCAGTCCAAATTAAACAACGAAATTAATCTCTGAAAACAGACCTGATTTAAACCTCTCATGTGAAAATGAAGCATGCACATCCGCAAAGATCCTTAGGCTGAACAGTTATAGTAGATAGAAGTTTGTATGAATGCTCAAGAAACTGAAGCAGATAAGGGAGATTCCACAGAAGGAAGAATTCATTTATGAAATGAGTGAACAAGTCGTTGAGAGATTTCCAAGGTAACCCACATGCCCAGAGCACTGAGCTGCCCAAAAAGCTGATTTAATGTGAATAAACCTCAAAGCAGCTGCCTCGCAAATTATATTGAGTTAAGGTTCTGGACACATTTTAAACCAGTCATCAGAAATATCTCCCAAAGGGTTAACTTTATTATGAGACACTGCAAATGACATCAAGTACTGCCTGAAATACATTTTGGAAATAGGTGTACTGTCTATGCCATTGTGTAGTTGTTAATGTCTACAATCACGCTATGTGGAGAGAAAAAAATAATAATAAATTTCACAATAGAACCAAACTGATTTATTGCTTAAGTGAGAGCCTTAAAGTGAGCACTTTTGTTTTTGAAAGGATCCTCACTATCAAAAGGAATTCTTGATACGAGATGTTTATTTAAATTTGAGATTTTTCAAGAGGAAACTGGAACCAGTAAAGTTGAAATATTTATGTGAAGAGGTTCCAATATTCCCATGAAATTGAGATTGTAAAAGAGTGAAGTGTGGTTACTTTCACTGAGAGGTTCTGGGGTTAGATGTTCTAGGAGTTACAGAAGATCTTTTTTGAAACCAGCCATGTACACTACAGATGTTCTGGAGAAGGCATGTAGGGTTTTTTTCTGAAAAGTTCTGGGTTACAAGTTATAGAAGAATAAATATTTTAAATCTTCCCATGGAAATAATGAATCTTAAAGAAAGGGAAAATCTGGTCATTCTGAAAAGTTGTAAGGTTATAATTTGAGATTTGGTGTTTTAAAGTGTCCCTATGGAAGTACTAATCTTACTCCTTAACCTTAATCCTAGTAAATTCTGAGGTTACAAGTCTTCAGTAGATCTCGTGTTTGAATTGATGATTTTTTGAAAAGTTCTTGAATGACTGGTGTAGGTGGTGTTGATGCACAATGTGCTGTTGCGTGGAGGTGCTAATCACCAGTAGAAGACTGGGCTTCATTTAAGGCCTGTTCGCCCCCGGCCACCTTCCCTGCGTGCTGTCCAAGTGGACCCAGGGGGGCTGAATACTTACCACTCCCCCAAGTGACCTTTTGTTAACACCGCAAGGTTGCCCAGGTCACCCGAGAAGAGTCTGAAGATGTTTCTCTATGAGGCCTACTCTGGCTAATCCAGAGACCAGGCTCCCAAGGACCCCAGATATCTCCAGGGAACAGCAGAGCCCTTGCCCAAATCAGCTGAATCTAACAGGTAGATTCAGGAGTAAAAATTGGCCATGAACTGGTCATTGCCTTCTCCTCACTCCCTGCTGATTTGCTCCAGAATACTTAGTCAACATCCAAGGAGGTCCTTAAATCCAATTTGACCAAAAAATTTCGCCAGAATGTGACTAGAAGCATTCAAAGAGATACTCCTGACCTCCCACTAACTACAAGAAATTATAAAATTTATGAGGTCAGGTCGAGGTTCAGTCTGGCGGATATATCTCTGTAGATATATCATTCTTCTACCAAACGTCTCCCCTAAGGCAATGCAAGAACCAAGCAGACATTATCCTTATCAGGGATAACCGTTGGGAGCATTACCCTGAAGATCAAGCAACTCTGGTCCATTGACTAGGTGTTGAGACACAGCATTTCGGCAATGGTGATGACCAATTGTTTGTTTATGTTTTTCTTTGTTCTTGTTTGTATATTTTTATTCAGAATTTGATTATCTGATGTCTAGGTTGTTTTCCCATACTTTGATTATCATATTTAAGCTTATGAAGCCCTTTAAAATCGTGTTTTATTAGAGAATAGACCATATGCAAATGACTCATTAGTATTCGTGTTTTTAGACCAATCCTGTGTGTCCTCAGCTGAGTGTGCTTTCGGTCAGGTTTAATCCTTTATATCTCGGCCGTTTTTTCATGTTTTGGTTTAATTTTTTCTGCATTTTAGTCAGTTTGTTGTGTAGAATAAGTGTTGAGCAAATAAACTGTCATTACTGATCAAAAATATTTCTGTGGGGTTACCGTTTATGAGAAGTACAGCTGATTTAGTGTGGTAATTTACAATCTCTGCATACAGATTAATGTTTTCTCTCAGGCAAACTGACTCATGCAGTTTACTGAAGATGAAAGTACTGAAGTGATCATGTCAATGACAATAATAATAACAACACATACACATTTCTGATGTGTGTTTTGATTAGCATGATTCAACAATGTACTTGATAAAATAGAGAAATACAAAATACATAAACAGACTAGCATCAATAATTTAAGATCAGCCTGGCAAGGTGTGAACACAATGGCTGGGAGTAAAGAAGATAGAGGGGAAAATGAAACCAATTTAAATGGTTTTAGTTCTGTGAGAGAGTTTGCTGAGGAATTAAATACATTTTACATAAGGTTTGATGAGGGTGATTTTAAGTCAGAAAATGACATTTTAAAACAACACCTGTCATGAAGTAAATCCGTAAACATTAGTAGGACTAAAAAAGAACTCTTTCAGAGAATTAGTACTAAAAAAAGCCCAGGCCCAGATAATATTGGTGGTAGGGTGCTACATACATGTGCTGAACAACTTTCTGAAATATTTCATTGCATTTCTTCAGTCTCTTGCGTTGCAAAGAGTTCCTGAAATCTGGAAGAAATCTGTTCCTATAGCCAAAAACCATGTTTCTGCGGGAATTTAATGATTTTTTAGACCTGTTGCCCTTACTTCATTAGTTATGAAGTGTTTCGAGAGAATTATTAAAGGTGAGATTTTATTGTATTCAAAGGATAAATTTGATCCTTTGCAGTTTGCATTTAGACAGAGCAGGGGAGTTGAAGATGCTAATCTTCCACTGTTACATTACCTGTTTAATCACCTGGAAAAGCCCAAGACCCATGCCAGATTGTTGTTTCCCTGAAATATTAATGACTAAATAAAGGCAAAGGAAGATATTGTAACAACTTTAGGCGGAAAAACGTATTCATGCTGCATTGCATGCTGGGAGTTTTGTACGATTTAACAATCATGATTGAGGTTCATATCCTGATTCTTGGTGTCTGTGTGTCTCGGTGTGCTGCTGGAGCTCTCAATGTTTTCTGCATGAAACTCTAGCTAACAATTAACATTTTTATTCATTCCTGTTTGTTGACCCTCCACTGAAAGCTGTTGTATTGTCCCAAACAACATCACATAAGCCTGCGATATTTATACTTCATTTCTGAAATTCTACCAAGTATATCTGTAACAAGCGCATAAAGCTTCTCATCGTCTTTCTTAATCGATGAGTTTCAGAAACACATTAAGATAAAGGATTAAGAGCTCAACTAAAGCAGCTGCTGATCTCCATGATGGTGAGGTCAAATAAACATGTTCAATTAAACATAGAAAGCTCAGTTCATTATTAAATCTGTTTAAAAGTCAGACTGTGATCAGTGAAGCTGCTAACGCTGTTTGTGGAGGTGTTTAACCCCGTTTTAGGGTGCTTTTACACCTGCCTTATTTAGTTGGATTGAATCGCACTAGAGTTGCTTTTGCCTTTTGGTGCGGTTTGTTTGGGCAGGTGTGAATGCAGCAATCGTACTCGTGTGCGCACCAAAAGCGGACCAAATAAGCGTACCGACACCTGCTTGAAGAGGTGGTCTCGGTACGCTTTCAAACGAACCCTGGAGCGGTTAGTTTGTGGTGAGAATATGATCCGTACTAAAACAGGTCCAACCGCAAAATGTACAGCGCCTTTTGCACTAATTCAGCTGCCGTAGGCCGATGCGCTGTGCATTATGGGATATGGAGGAAAAATATTTGTTGACAGCGCTTTACCAACTGAGAGAGAGAGAGAGAGGGAAACACGTTAACTGATGGATCGTTGGTATTATTTCCGCAAGATGAGCATGTCAAATTAATTCACGACTCCTCCTGAAGTGACGAGTGATGCATTAAACACTGTTTTCCAGCTGCGGCCGCGCTTCATTCTCCAAATGTATAGTTTGTCTAAAACAGGGATACAATCAGTCAGCGCAGTCGCCCCTTCATAGTTAAAGCGACATGTTGTGTCTGCCGGTTTTGTTTACCTGCGGGAGTTCATTGGCATTTTCCCGCACGTGAATTCTGACCAATCAATAAGCAGTTTAGGAAATATATTCAACAACATCTGGCCAATGAGAGATGTGGATTTTGTCAGATGACTGCATTTTGGTTCGTTTCAACTGGTTCAGACCAAAGCCAGCAGTGTGGTGTGAAAACGACCCAAAGACGGCAGAAAATGAAACAGTGCATCATTTATTGGCCTTGGTGCGGACCAAATGAAGCGAACTACAGATGTGAGCGCAGCCGATGTTCAGCTGGTTTGGTGTGAGGCTGCAGCTGTGTTTATGTCTTGTTCTCTCCTTCACTGACCAGTTTACATGAACATCATCAGTAAGTGAATTATTTGCCTTAATCTAATTAAGACATTAATAAGATTAAGGTGTTTACATGAGCTGCTTTTTAAATGTTTCTTTCTTGATCCCGTTTTACTTGTTAAAGCACATACTTAGATTATCGCCATTGCATCAGCGATATCCGCATTTCCCCCGTTTCATGCAATTTTGGGTGTTTCATTATTAATTTCTCAACTTTAACTGCGTCTTAAAAATTTGCTAACTCCTAATAACTCCAAAACACCTCAAAATTCCATGACTGGTCTTAAAAATGTGATCTTCTACAACTTTTAAACCCTGAAGGTTTCAGGAAAGGTAACTCCACCTACCTTCTCAGGAACATCTTAAGATTATATGGCTGGTCTTAATTCGATCTCTAACCCCAACCTAACTTTAAGGGAGAACCCTCACCCACAACAAAACCTAACACCCAACCGTCAGGAGCCAAAAGGACAGCCATCGCCTACCCCTAACCCTGAACTCAACCGTCAGTAACCAAAGGGCATAACCCTTATTCTTCTTAGTATTTTGGAAAAATGACAGTCCTACAACTACGGGGAGTTGTTGGGATTTTTTCAAAACCTAACCCCTAAACCCTAACTCTAACTCTAACACACACCGCAGGCGGATCAGCTCCTCACACACACCTGCTGAACAGCGAACGAGTGAGCGAACGAACGAACGAACGAACGAACGAGCGAGCGAACGAACGAACGAACGAACACACACACACACACACACACACACACACACACACACACACACACACACACACACACACACACACACACACACACACACACACACACACACACACACACTTACTGATGAACTTAACAATTAAAAACAGATTTAATGCAGCACATCTGTTAGTCTATACACATTAAGAACAGCTGCTGAAGACTGAGACTCCCACTGAGACATGATCACGGCGGCCCACTCCTGCTGACTCTGATAACCATCATCATACACTGAGGATGCACTGCAGGTGTGTTTGGGTCAGTCTTTGTTCAGCTGTGTGTGTGTGTGTGTGTGTGTAGTTCTCATGATCACTCAGAAGGGTTTAATGCTCACTGATTACTTCTATTATCAACATCT